TCCCGCTCTGTCCTGTCTGTTGACCAATAGGAGAGGAGCTGACCCAAGAAACCCCACCCACCTTATTTACATAAAACGGCAGAACTACATAAGGTAAAGTAAAATCAGCAGACAGAGAAAAGTAAAAGCAACACATGGAAATAAAAAGACTTGTGGGAAAAAAGATAAAAAATAATTAAACAATAATTTAAGAGACACAAATACGTGTACAAGTAAAAGGAAAACATAAAATATACATTTTTTAAAAACAGTAAAATGTAAATTATGAGCTAAAATATATAATTTATTGGAACTAAGCTGGAAAAATAAATATGAAGGTCAATTAAATTATAAAACACGAGGTAAAGTTCTAAGTTTATTTTTTTTAATTGGTGCATTTAAAGAGTATTCATTTATTTATTGGTCCATTATTATATTTGTTTTTTTTTCTAATTATGACAGTTTCAGTTCTCCATACAAAACAGCTGTTTCATTTAAAAGTTAAACTATCAAAGGGTACTGCACCTTCAGGACCCCCCCCCCCCACACACACACACACACACTTGTGATGTCCTTGAATATCATGTTGTTTAGTGAAAACATGATGCATGAGTGTACAGTGCATGCTATCTGCTAAAAACAAGCCTCCTCAATGAATCATTCAGTTTATCAGGCCACAACAAAATTGCTTGAATAATGGAAATCCATCAGTTATCCCTGGGTGACCTCTGTGTTTCCTTGACAACTCATCCAGCAGCAGCAGCATCAGTTTGTTTCCTCTGGTCCTGATCTGTAACTCTGACACAGTTTCCTGCTGCTGTGAGGATTTGATTCCCTCCGGTGGATTTCATCCCGATCTCTCCTTCCTGCTGCGATAATCTCTTTTAAACCATCTTCACTGTCTTCTCCCCACCGCTCCGGCCCTGACTGGGATCACTTAACACATTTTCACTCTGATATAAACCTCTTTACTGCACAGATCAAACATGATTGCTCCAGTTGAAAAAAATAAAATCAAACATTTTTTATTATAAGTTGGATTTTAATGTTAAATTTACCTTTGGTTTGAGTTTGATGCATAGTTCTAACCTTTTGTTAATTTAAGGTTTGTCCCATTACTTTTTAAATTCCATCAACTTGTGCTAATTAAAAATAACAATTAGCATTTTAGCTTCTTATAAAAAAGTCCATAATATGCAGAAATGAGAATTCTTGGTTCATTTCTTTAAAATAACTATAAAAACTTATTTAAGAACACCTAACCTTCATACATGCCACAGACCTGTGACTAACAGGCCTTACGCTGCAATAAAAACACCGTCAGGGTCAGTAAAACCACTGGATAAATCTTTATTAGTCAGTTAATTAATCAATCAGTTGCTTTTGAACTTTTAGGGGGCGGTCAACAACTTTGCTGCACTTGGCACATCAAATTAACTTTAGTCCAACAGGCCTAATGGACACAGAGCAATTGAAATATGAACATGAACAGTGCAGTGTAAGCATAAAAGGCGTGCGAGCTCAGATACTGCATTGATTTTCCGTCCCTTCCAACGTTCAGGGAGAACAATGTATCAAACATTTAAATTGAACTGGCTGCCCAGCAGATCTGACTGGACCGACCACTGCCACTGTGGCAAAGCCCGCATGGTTGAATACTAAATAAAACTGAAGCCTTAGCAGGGGACAATTAAGGGCATAAGTTCAACTGAAGCTAAAGCAAAAGCTAGTTCACGACAGCTTGATATTTTCTATCAAATCTGTGTTAAAGGTCACCGTCAACACACGGGTTTATTCTCCGGTCGGACCACCAGAGGCAGCAAATATCCCAAATATTGAAAGKATATTCCCTCATCAGTTCACTTCAGAGAAGAACATGAAAATCAATAGGCAGCTGAGAAAATCTCAATCAAATAATTGAGTTAAGAGCTTACAGAAGTTTAAACGAGGATAATGGCTGTCAGGTCGATAGCTGACAGAGRTGATGTGTGAAGTCAGTAATGATCGAATCAAAGATCCGACCTGATGGAATATTAACCGGACTCCTCTGGCTCGTGGCCTGAGTGAAAGCGAGTGTGACAGTACAGGACGCGGCAAACAGATTTCAGCTAATTTCATGTCTCTGACATTACACTTATAACCCGGCTCCCCTCCAGGCTGAGCATCAGTGTCAGAACTGACAGTTCATGTGACGGACATATGATGGAGGAACAAGCCCACAGTGGGACACTAAAGGAAACCAACATTGCTCTAAGCGTTGACCCTAAAATACACTTATCACTATTTATTCATTCAGTCGTTCTCACAATGTGATATAGAGTAAAATCATGAACATCAAAAGTTTTGTTAGAATTTCTTGAATATTTCTCTCCAGCAGAAAGAAAATGCCTGTATGGAGGACCCAAACTGACATAATTAGAAATAAAAGAAATATACAAATGGACCAATAAATAAATAAACATACTTAAAATGCACCAATTAAATGAAGTAAATAAAAACAGGAGACAGAGAAATAAAGTAGTAAAAGCACCACATGGAAATAAAGACTTGTGGGAAACATTATTATATTTAAATTCCTGTCTGTTGACCAACAGGAGAGGAGCCGACCCAAGAAGCTCCGCCCACCTTATTTACATAATGAGGCAAAAATGTATAAGGTAAAYGTAAAAACAAGAGATAGAGAAATGTAAAAGCAACACAATGAAATAGAAAGACTTGCGGGAAAAATAATTTTAAAAAAATTAAATATGATCCGTCAAGAGACTTATCTTTCCGCTTTTATTTTTAATTATGACAGTTTTGGTCCTCCGTATGTCTGAACATACAGCCTGCTGTACAGGGTTCAGAGAACTTTGGTCCATCAGTACACTACAAATAAAATAATGTAACTTTAAAAAATAGCACAGGTATAAAAGAATTACAACAGAAAAATATATACTACATTTTCTTGCTTATCCAGACCTGAAAAACACTAAAAACTAATTTGATGTTTTCCATGCTTCACAAGAGACAAGAAACTGTACAAATTAGTGAAAACTAAACTTCCCATTGAAAACAATTTAGACTTCAGACTTTTAGAAGTGGTTTGATCGTCTTTATGCCAGTGTCGGTTCTACAGAATATCTGTCTCGTGCAAATAAATAAATCACTCTGCAGAGTCACCAGAGTGAAGAAGAAATTATTACGAGAGCTGGAAGATCTTTCTTCAGAGAGATAAAGGTCACATTAATATATCATAAAAGTTTAGCTCTCAGCAAGTAATTTTGAGCATGGCTTCCCCAGACAGCTCATATCAAACTTCTGGACCCGAGTGAAAGCGGTCCGAGACAGAGCGGCTCTCTCKGATGAAGACGGTGGAAGAAGGGCACCTTGACACCCTGAAGCTCACTGACAGAACAGAGCTGCTGGGTGCTCACAGGGTCAGCTTCTGATTATTCTCCCCACGGAGCAGAAAACACACCTGATAAGAGCTTCTTAATAATTTACAGTCATCGTTCTGATCTGGACCGTGTCTTTAGGACAGAGAGCTTTGACTGTGAAAACTAAAGTACACACAGACGCAGAACAGAATCACAGTAAGACATTTATCATCACAGCATAATTAACTGCAATGTAGAGTATTTCAGAAAAGATTRCACAAATTAAATATTAACCTCCAATAACTAAGAGTCATAAAAGAGGATTAAGGTCACTGAAAAAAAAAATCATRCATCCATTATCTATACCTGTTTATACCTGTTCTGGGGTCACTGGTGCCCATATTCAGCAGTCACAGTGCGAGGGGCAGTGTACACCCTGGACAAGTCACAAGTAGGGGTGTAAATCACCAGCTTTATCARGATATGATATTACCTAATAACCTAATTTCCCTCTGGGATCAATAAAGTATTTTTGAATTTGAATTGAACTGAATATTACAACGATATGTTTGGATGACGATTTGGTATTTCTTGATATCACAAAGTCTGTCACGATATGATTTAGGGATGGCCATTGTAAATTAGCTCTGCTATAAATGTTGTAGTATATTGTTAATACWTGACACTTGTCCCTATTCAAATACACAATAAATGAAGAAATGAAACGAAATGAATTTCGATTGAATTCAATTCAGGTTCTTTTTTCCCAAAAACACATCAACATAGCACACAAATAGGAGTTTAAGCCAGTGTCAGAGAAACTGGACAAAATGATCAGCAACTTCTTATTACCAGAATAAATGTGTTTTAAAATGCACATATATATAAAACCCTTCAGCAGGTGTTGTTACAGCTGCATGGCTGATTGTGCTGAAAGTGAAAAATTAGTCTTTGAAACTGCAAGTGTAAACATACTGACCGGAGAATATAAATCAGCATTATTTAAATTTGCATTATGTAGTATCCCACAGGAGGACGGAGGAGAGAACATTTCATTTATTGGCGTTTTTTTTCCCTTTCTTCCTAATTCTATTAAATCCTAAGGAGAAGGGGAGGAGAAACCCGGGGCTCAGAAATTACACGGCACATCTATCAKTGTCGTCGTTCAAAGTTAAAGCAGGAGTGGAAATCAGAGTTTGGCTTGCTCAAGACTTCAAGGACATTAAAACATTTCCCGTGCGCTGCAGAGGTTTTAATAAGTAAAGAAAATCTAAGTTAAACAGTTTAAAACTAAAACATTTGGACAGAAGCTAGAACTTTCATTCAACACTGACTCCAAGTTTTCTGTAAACATCAACGATCTGAATGAAATTTCACATTTTAGAGTAATACAGGGAAAGCTTTACATCTAACCAGACATTGTTTAACATTAACAGCCATAAACTACAATAATATGTCAATTAAACTGCTCAGATGACAAATCCATCCATTATTTAAACGATTGCACTGCTTAGTTTCATGTCCAGAATATTAATGGGCCCGTTCACTGCTGCCTGGCCTTTCACAGCAGTCATTAGTGTAGGCTGAGCTCATGCATGGAGATTTTATTTATCTATAACAGGAACAAGCAAACAGTTTGAGGGGAAAGTAATCAGCACTTACCAGAAATATTCTGTACGCATTGTTCCTGGTGACGGAGCCCCAGCACGAGTCTGTATCGTTGTATTTCACACCTCCAGTGCTGCAGGAGTGATTTCCACTGCAGGAAACAAACAGAACATTTCATTTAACCTCGGCCTCGTCAGAAGACAGATAATCACCAAAGCTGTGCTTTAGTCTCTAAGAATGACCAAAATGAGGGGGAAGAAAACTGCACTGTAACTGTTTAAATGACAGTAATCACTGCTGCGTGACGGGACAAGCTCATCAGTAAGAAGTTTGTATTTTGTGGCAGTGAAATATGACATCTCAGTTAAATCTTAGTTACTCTTGCTGGAAGCTCAGTAAAGTGATGAGAGCTTAATGTGATCAGACAACATCAGCGTCCTCATTTAGAARAGATTTTACAAAAACAGTGATTAAAAAAAAGAGAAGAGTTACAACAGCGTCATAAATAAAAACAGGCAAATAATAATAATTCTWCTTTTTCACACGTTGGACTGAGGCAGGGGTCTGCAACCTTTACGATCAAAAGAGCCATTTCTGCTCCTCGGTTCACTAATAACGTGTTCAGAGCCTCAAAACGAGCTACAACTGTGATTATCAACTGGTGGTCCGCTGGCCTATTCAAGGCCTTTTTGGGAACCTTTACGGTCAGTGGAGGTGACATTATAAAACTAAAACAAATTATTATTATTATTATTTATTATTATACACATCAGGACAAATAAAAACACCACATTCGTGTAAACAAGAAAAATGCTGTATATAGTTTATACTGAATTTCATAAAAACTAGAACAACTGAATTATTCAGGCATTTTTTTCTGATTCTTATTATGTAGTCTTCAAATTATTTAAAGATAATTCTGATGGATTTGAGAGAAAGATCATAGAAAGAAGTTGGATTATTTACGTAAACAACAGGCTAGCATGAGCTAACCGGTTTTACTTTTTTTATTAGTCGTATTGATCACATATTTGAATACAAATTGATTTCTGTTGTGTGTATAAAAAAAACTAATATATTCTGTTATGTTTGGTCAAAGAGTTTCAAAGAGCCACTGCAGAGGGACCAAAGAGCCACATGTGGCCCCAGAGCCGCAGGTTGCAGACCCCTGGGGGAAGATCGAGGGTCCAGCTGGTCCCAGGAGGACCTCAATATGACAAAGTTAATGTGGACAGGTGTTGTCTTGTTGCTTATTACTTTAGAAACGGTTATACATTTGTTTTTCAATAAAAACATTTTAAATCAAAGTGAACGGCGTAAGTGCACACTACCTCCTTAAATCTTTTTTTATTATTTTCCCAAAACTACCAAAAACCCAAATGTCAAAAACTGTAACTGTCACAATTTTTGAATCATCTCCATGAATAAATAAAAATAAATAAATATATTTAAAAAACCACCAGCGGGGTTTAAGACTATTTCTGTCGTCTAGAAGGGGATGAGCTCATAGCCAAATAAAAATGTCTTATTTTCAGACGGGTAATAAAAACCTTTCTGGGAGGAAGTGAACAGAAGCAGCTGAGAGAGGCGAGCAGGCCCCAAGGTCTCTGCTAGCAAACTTTTATTGTCTTAATCTACGAGTTCAGCAGGTCACAGAGGGATCAGAGTGGGAGGGCAGCGAGGAGACCAGAACTGAGAGAGAGAATAAAATCAACCTTTAAGTTGCTGATATTGTCTCACCAGGCCACTTCCATGAGTGAAATGGGCACGGCCGCAGCGTAGATGGCCAGATCTCCGTAAAGATAGATGATGATGCAAATGTAGAACATGTTGACTCCCACTGAAAGACACAAAGAATTAAGAGATGAAGGACTTCGGGACGCACGATGAGCAGATTCAGAGTAACACGGGATCAACGGGTGACAAACAAATACATTTATCATTTTTAGCTGCCGTCCAAACACTTCATCAAGATGCATCACTGACGGAGCACGAATGTCAAACATCTATATTAAAATTACACCCTCATCTGCACGCCTCTCGTTACAGCCCTCCGTCCTTTTTCCAGGCCACAGGCATGTGTTTTAATTAATGAAAAATATTAATGGCATTAATTATTAAAGCGAACACTCCATGAGGGAAAACGTCCATCAGCCTCCACTCTCCGCGGGGCTTTTGACCATCTGTCCTCCTGTTTTCGTCCAAACACCTGACTGATAGGACCGAGTCAGATTTCACCTGCAGACACATCAGCGCAGCGAGCCACACATCCATCATCCCGTTGGTTTCTCAAATGAGGGGGGGTTCTACCGCCTAACAGGGCCCCTCAGCTAATTCATTACTGCCAAGGAAATTAGAGGGTAAAGTCCATTAAAAAGAAATAAACGCCGACAGATTTACAGCTTCTCCGGCCACACAGATTCTTTATCAAATCAAGGACTAAAGGGGCCTATTAGGGGGGTTGCATTAAGCTGTGATAGAAGCCAAAACAAGAGCAGAACCAAATAAACAACTATTTATATCCAAACTAACCAAAAAAAAAATGTCTCAGCATTTCATTAAATCAGTGTTTGGTCCATGAAGTGTCAGTTCACAGGCAGCTAATGAGGGCAGATTGCTTGTTTTATCCAACTACTGGTCCAGAACCAGAGCATAATTAGGTTTCAGCTTTAAAAATCTGATTCTGTTTGAGTTTTATTCCTTGAAGTATAATAAACTATAAATATTCTGTGGAGCTGCCTTGTGTTTTTACAGCACAGAAAATAACATACAGAAACTCAAGGTTGACACGTGTATTTATCACGCGGATACATTTTAATGTATAATGTCTTTGTTCTTACTACTGGTTCAGTATAGGGATGCAAACAATAACTTGCGAATAATTGTCAAATACTTAGGTTTATTAAGTTCAAATTTGTTCCATTCGATTAACTGAAAACATCCGCCGGCGCGTCACAAGGCTGATTTAAATCACTCTAACAGGAAAGATGCCCCCCCACCTGAAACATTTCAATTTAAGTCAAAAGTTGAGGCTTAAAAAATTTAAATTGGTTTTTAAATGGTGTTGATAGGACAAGTTCAACTGGAGTTATGATAAATAGTACACGCCACATTTTTTCTTCTTAAAATGATGGTGGTAAATGGATGGTGTTGCACTGCCAGCAGGAAATGTTTGCTTCTTTTTAAATATTCAGTATCTTATAAAAACTTTAGACATGTTTTGGAAAGACCCTTTGATAAAATAGGGAAAAAAATGACWGCTTATTAATTAATTGTTAGTTGCTCAATAAGATCAATCCACTTTAGATTCATTAATTAGAGTTCATTAATTGATAACTTGCCTCAAATGTTACTCAAATGTATCAGAGTGTCATTGGTTGTTTATTTCCACCAAACAGTCCCATGAAAGAAGTCATTCTTATTGTCCTAATCGCTGCACAAACTTAGACATGTTTTTACTTTGCAGATAGATGTGAGACGTACTGTTCTCTGCAGCCCGGCCACAGTTCTYCACCACCTCACAAAACCGTAACTAAAATTTGCCAATTACCCAGAGCCACAGGCAAAAACTGCTGCAAAATACGTCTTCGTTTAGCAGCTCAGCTTTTTCATGTAGCTGTGAGAAGCATTACTATCCATCAACACGTTACCTCTGACCAGACTGACAGTGGACATGACGGCCCGTCTGTAAAAACCTGCAGAAAAAGGTAAAACTACACTTAGTTAACTTACAGAAACCACAGAGAGGACAGAAAAAACACCACATCCTCCTCTGGAAACAAGAGCAGCAACAAGAGAACTGCAAATTATGTTTAAAACATTTTATATAAACTAGATACAGCATAGCCGTAGCATGGATGACCCCCACATGCATACAGAGCACCAATGTACCAGAACTCACCGGAACAGATTTATTGTTTTGGGTGGGGGTCCAGAGAGGGAGATGGGTCTCATTGGCCCAATGGACACCCCTTCTTCAGAGCTAAACAACAAATAAATCTGAAGCTCCTGCGTTGAATAGTTTTTGAGTTATAAGCATTTTTGTTTGTCCAGACACCCCCTTTTCAGATGGAGCCTCCTCTTTAAATATGGGGTCTACTGTAAAACCGTTGTCTGGTGCAGCGAAGGTCAGACTCATCTACAGTCCTGCTAAATTTCAAGTTGATCGGTGCAGCCATTTCTGTGCTACAAGTGACCAAAATTCATTGAAAATTATTTAAAATTTTAATTTAAAAGGGACAATATTATGTGCTTTCCAAGCCTATATTTCAATTTTATACTAAAATAAAGTAACTATGTCACATTTTCAGCTTATGAAAGAGCTATACATTTGTAAAAATCCCCAAAACAATTGACTTCTCATCTTGACAGTTTCTAAACACCTTGAAATTGGTCRCTGTCTCTTTTTGAAAATCCAACCACTTTGGCCACYCCCATTTCAGCACGTAGCCTGCCGGAGTCGGGGGGGCTCTCATGTGCGCTATGATGCAGTTGACCTTTCATCTGAAAATACATTTCCTCAAAGGTATTTTGAATCTGAAAAGAGCTTCACTGAGTGAGCAGTAGTGTRGAGAGCAGCGGACAGTTTTAAGTTTTATTTTCACTTTCCCTCATTTGCTAGCCTGCAGGAGTCATGGGTGGGGTGTGTGGGGTGGGAGGTGGGGCGGTGTGCTCCGTAATGAGGAAGCTCGGCTTAAAGACACGTCCCAGGGGCGTTTCTGGCCCCCACCTGTCGTTTTGCTCCTCAGCATGGCCTTTGGTTGTTTTTTTTATTCATTTATTTTCAATCCAATTATCTGAAAACTTGGCACAACTCATCATGGTGTTTTGTTTGGGCTTAAAAATTGGTCTCATAAAATCATCTGCAGCAGACAAAAAGAATATGAAAGGAACTTAGAGTAAGTGTTTATTCACAAGATTATAGTTTGTAACAAGAAAATGACTATTTTGAATAACCGTATAATAAACACTTTAGTTTTGCCACTACAGTGAAGCTGTCCTTTTAATTAAAAAAAGCCTCAGAATAAATTGTCCTCACACCTAAAATCTCACAAATAATGGAGGAAGAAACTGATTTTTGTCCCCCTCTGTTTGTATAATTAAATTTTGCTGCTTGTTGGACCAACAAAATGAATCTTTGATGGAGAGAAATCAAATATCTTCTGTTCAGATCTACATTAAGGAATCCTRGGAGGCAACATTAACAATATCTGTGAGGAACAAATGAGAAATCATCAGTACCAAACTTGTTTGTGATGTGGAGAATATCAGAATAAATCTGTGCTGCAGCAGACGTCTGATTTGACAGAAACAAGATGATTCTGAGTTTTAACTTAGTTTCATTTCAGAAAACAAATGAAGCCTTCATGAAGCAAACAGCTCTTTCCAGGCAGCACACTTTGAATATTGATTTGTTTGCTTGATAGCAGTCAGCCTTGATTTAACGTGCCCCTGAAATTAAAGTGCATCTTTCAGCACGCTGACACACACAACTATTGTAGCAGCGCTTTATAGAAAATGATGGCGACAAACACTGAGGTAAACATGAGCATTTATCTTCAAAATGACTCCAACTTTCATCTCAGCAGACATTTAAAAAAAAGAAGTCACTTATATGTTCATGCTTGGCTTTAATTAAAGTCAGAAGCCTGTGTTAGAGCTAAGTTCATTAGTATTCGTGGCCACGGAGCTGTTTACGTCAGGGGACCGATGGCTCAGAAACAATCCTGGTGTTTGCACGGCTGCAGCGTTTCCAACACATCACAACACAGAGGTAAGAAAAGCTGAGACAAGATGCTGATGCAAGGACAGCACTCTCGGCCAGTCTGTCTTTGTGACTTTAGCCAAAGTCGTCTTTTAATCAACTTTCAAATCATCAGTGTGAAGGTTACAGCAACCGCTTTCCACAGGGGCGCAGATAAACCTGCCTCCATCAACATTCCTGTCAGCGGCTGCAGGTCAGGCTGATACCATARCCATGGACTTATTCCAAGCCTGCCTCAGCCTCAGCACCGCCGCCACTGCCGCTGCTGTCACGTCAATTTCATCCTAAGAGGAAGTCAGATGTCCTCTAACTCTGCCGCTCCAGCAGCAGGAGAGGCGGCCTGTTAATCGCCTGCAAAGGTGCAGGARGGCCCGACAGACAGAAGTCACGTCTGCACTTTATTATCTCAACAGAACGACGAGCTGCTGTTACGCCGCCTTAATGTGTGTAAATTCAGCACAGGAGAATGAACCTMTTTGCATTCATTCTGGTTAATTACCTTTATTCACGTGCAGAGGTCCCATTAAGAAGAAGCCAAAACAGAGTTCAGGCTCAGCATCAGTCTTCAAAACAGACTGCGCCGTAACGTGTCGTGTCATAATAACATCAACGGAAAGCAGCGTTCAGCGAGTAAAACTTGATTTATTTGTGTGTGTAAAGAATTGATTTTCAATAAAACTGAATTACTGTATAAAAAAACAAGACTTTGTTTGGTGGAATCTGTTCAAACTGCTGGTTTGTTTTAAAACAAATGGTACACTTTACAATAAAGCTCCCCTTATAGATGCTTATACATAGGTTATTAATTCATCTGTAAACACTTTATAAATCATTAATAAGTGTTTATTATGCATTATTTAGGGATGAGAAAGAGACAAAACTGTCTGGTTTCTTGCCAAATAATGAGAAAAAATCTGTTCATGTACGTATTTCATCTAAAGTGTTATATTAAACATTTCAGAKCAAGTTTRAACCTTGTAAACACAACAACACATATTTTACACATAATATTGTACTGTATTACTGCAATTTGCATTTCCACAACCATCAAAGGGAGTCTTATTGTAAAGTGAAGACAGTTGACTATTTATTAATGACTAATAAACGTGTATAAGGAAGCCTTATAAATAATGTATTGTTTTATGCTTTACAATAAGACTCCCTTTGATAGTTGTGGATATGTACAATGCAGTAGTACAATATTATATGTAAAATATGTGTTTCCAATATGTGATTCCAATTGTGTTTACAAGGTAGAAACCTGGTCTGAAATGTTTTAGATGTAATATGTACATGAACAGATTTGTCTCACTATTTGGCAAGAAACCAGACAGTTTTGTCTCTTTCTCATCCTTAATTAATGCATAATAAACACTTATTAATGATTTATAAAGTGTTCACAGATTAATTAATAACCTATCTATAAGCTATTTATAAGCATCTATATGGGGAGCCTTATAGTAAAGTGGTACCAAACAAATAATAAAATGATTATTATATGCTGTCAGGACAAACCAAGACCTGAGCTGGAGCTCACGGCTGTTTCAGTTTCCTCTGATTAGAGCCGGAGCAGCTTTCCCACAGCGTGAGGAGGGAGAAAACTCATTTCCTTATTACCGATCGATCCCGCCACGTGTTCCCTGCACAGCCTGCGTTTCATGGTGAGTAAGGTCATCAGCCATGTTTTTTTTTGTTTGTTTTTTCTAAAGCACCTTTAAGAGGCAGGCGATCGAGTAAGTGACAAGAGGCTGAATGGATGGGAGCACYCTGCAGCTTTAACAGCGTGAGCTGCACGACGGCATGCATGAGCGCGTTCACACGTGCGGGTGTGAACACGAGCCGCCGGGTGACTCGCTGCGTGCCGAGTGCGCCACCTGCTGTTCAAAGGCTGAAGGACGGAGCGTGGCGGCGCAGACGACGCCGTCACAGCTTTGACCTTTGTTCTCTTCTTCCTGCGACGCTGACGAGTCCGAAGCCATGTGGACAGAGCTGGCTTAATGCAAGCAGACATGGCGCAGGAGGAGGCGAAGGGAAGGGTGTTTCTGCATGCTGACACAATCATTGATATGAATGAGGATTGGAAAGCTGCAGGGCTCTCTTTCTCTCTCTGGCTCAAGGTGATTCCCGTTTACCATCAGGAGTCAGCTTCATTAGCTCCAGAACAGGTATTTTCCARGAGTAAAAGGTACAAACATGCTCAGGCCTGATGTGCTCTCAAACAGGTGATTATAACCAAAGGCAATTTATCCATATYTAATTACATCCAATTAACCGCCACCAGCCTTCCTTTGTAAATGAGCACTGAACATTAAAAAAAAATCTGTGATAAATTGCCCCTGCACAGCCGTCCGGCTCGTCCATAAATATTAGACGTGGTTAATGATGATGGCATCTGCAGGTAATTGAATATTACGGAGCGAGAACAAAGCTTGAGGCAAGAAGAACATTACCTTTGTTGAAGAACATGGAGGCCATCTGACCCATCTCGATCCGCTCCACAATGTCGAAATGATCAACGGGACCAGATCTCTCTGCCAAAACCAAGGAGAAAATGCAAAAATAGGTATCCCAAAGGAATATTTCAACTACTTTTACTGCTATTGTTAAAAATTTTATTTGTTAGAGAATCAAAAATGAAATCCACTGCACTTTAAAGTTTCAAAATCAGGCAAGTACTTTTAAAATGGCAATAATTTAACTATCGTCGTGACCAGCTGTGCCGCATTTTGACAGTGTGAAGTGCTATTTTCAGGGGAGCAAAAACAATGGACACAATCCTCTAAAATCCAAGGAAATTACTTTGCTGACTGACAAACATATATTTAACAAAAAACAGAAGTATTTACCCCATTGTTTGAATCATTTTTGAAAATATTGAGTCCCAAAATGGAAAAAACAGACAAAATCGCACCAAATGAAAATTATGATCCAATAAGCCGAAGCCATTTTCACACCATCATATCTCAGAAAGTCTGACACCCACAAACTAAAAAATTATTATTATTATTATTGACATTCAATAGTATAAGGTGCTCACTTTTTTTCAGATAATTCAGTTGCGTAGATTTTGAGAAACTGGACCTCAAAAAAGCAAAAATAGTCATAAATTACTGTCCGAAAACATGCAAAAAAGGCAGATTTTTACACCTCCACTAAAACTTCACCTTTTGATGTAACACTTTGAAACTTTGAAGTTGGTAAGAAGTAGCCCCATAAATTTGATATTTAATAAGCAAAAAATAATTCCTATAAGGCAAGCAAAGCTGTGGTGAAACATGAAAATGAGAAAATAAAAGCTGAAAAGGTATTTAAACAAAGGATTTAAACACATATCTTTACTTTAAAACAAGCAAATAAAACACGGTATTAATCTTTAAAAAGTAATTTAAAATAAAAGTAAAAAGAAAAGATCACCACTCACGGACAGACAGGATGGGTTTAGTTTCCGGTTCTGCTCGGCCTCGGCCCATAACGTCATCGTCTGAGTAGTCGGAGCTGGAGTCGCTGTTGTCCATCTGTGGAGGACGAAACGGTACTTTGAAGCTCTGTTTTGGCTTTGATTTGATTTGATTTATTTATTTAACAGGAAAAGATTATTAAAAATCAAGCCTGACTCAGCACAATTGCTGTTTTACAGCAGGTTCCTGTTCTGCAGCACARAAAACACTCAGAAATACAGCATCACAATCACATCATTATACACCATAGACACAAAGACAAACAAGCATACCAAATTTCAAAAAGGCAGCATTTGCAAAATAGGACATCTAAATATGAGCACAACAAAAAGTGTCCAGCAGATGGCAGACAAGATTCTTCTTAAAGGGCTGTAGTTTTGAAATGGACTTTATGTTTTGAGGAATGTCATTCCATGCTTTAGTATAAACATAGAAGAAAGACCTCTGGCCGTAACAGTTTTTAAAAGTTGGTAATATCACTTGTCCTTTTGTAACAGATCTAGTTGAATGACCACTTCCAGAATTTGATTTGGGCAGCAATACACAGAGAGTTCCATAATTGGCACCTTTGTTTTCTTAATTCCTCTACATAAACAACCGTCACTTTACAAGCTATTAACGCTGTGTTTATTTGCTCTGGATTTGACGCGGGGGAGGCAACATCTGGAAATTACAGCCAACAGCTGGGGAGCACTTGGGAGGATGGAGCGGCTCGCGAGCCTCAACAATCACATCACCGGCACGTCGCATTTCGTAATTTCCCACAGTCCGTGCAGATTATTGTCAATTAACTGTCAGCAGTAGTGAAATTTGTGAGCGCCGTCAGCTGAATTAATGCAGGAGAGATGAAGAATGACAGCCAGTAATGACTCTGCAACAAACAGCAGACACAAGTAGGCTGGCACAACAGCAGACAAACAGCAGTGAGAATCAGAAAACTCTTCATGCCTGGAGGCGCAGACACACCATCAAAGTCAAACTCAGGCTCCAAAAGGAGGAAAGTCAAACAGCAGCTAACAGGGAAGGCTTTACTTCTTCATCCTGCAACTCAGACATGACTTTCACTTTTAAATTAAATTCCACAAATTAATTCTTTTATTTACATAAAAATTACAACAATTTACTGACATCTAGAGTCTGAAATGACAAACTGTAACTAAACATCCAAATATGTGAAGATGAAATCTCGGTCTCAACGGGGTTTTAAATCTGCTTAAATAAAGAAAATTTAATATGTATGAAACAAAGTTGCTATTAAAAATAAAATATTATTAATTTATTTTCATTTTAATTTAAGAATTCTAAGAAAAATGTCAGAATATTTTCCCCTCAGAGGCTCTAACCCTCTTTTGTAAAAACAAGTAAAAACTCTGAACTACAAAGTAAACGTAAAATTGCTACCAATTTTTCTGTTTTTTTATTTATTCTTAAAAAGCAGCATTTCTGCTCAGCAAGGAAAAATATTTGCAAGCAACAAAACACGATGAAGCTGAGCAGAAAGTCCCTCATTTACTTTGTATCCTGGTCCCTCAGGAAACTAACAAAAAAAGTTTTACTGTTTGTTTTAAACTTAATATATTTATTTTAGGGCTGCAATGATACAGAAAATTCACAATTCAGTTCGGTTCAATACTTTAGTCTCACGGTTCGATATTGTTTTGATCCAAAAAAGAGAAATTTCCATGCCCCTTTTAACTTGTAATTTACTTTAATTATGAACATTTGTTTAACCTCAAAAGTACAGTTTTTTTATTAAATGTTGCTGAAACAGCAAGTTTCTCAGTGGATCTGCTCTCGAATATGAAGCCTAGGTGGAGTAGTCGAACACAGATAAACTGATCCTTCAACACAGAGCATCTTCAGAAGACAAGCTGATAAAATAAATGTTAAAAACCTGTATTGTTCGATACAGGTGTGTACTGAACCAAAAGCACTGTATTGAATGGTTCGATATGGGTACACGTATTGTTGCACCCCTAATTTATTTACATGACCTAAAACTGTGAAAAAAAACTGATGAGAACATAACAGGAAACAGATCAAAGAGATTTTCATCTGGAAAGTGTCTATAATGACTTCATTCCAGCCAAAACTGTTTTTTTACTTAATAATAATGTTAGATAAACAATGTTGTCAATTTGCTATTACATGGTTATTTCAGCAGAAATATGAAAACCCTACTGGAAGTGTTAACGTTTCACCAGAACTGTTAGCACTAGCTGCTGCTGCAATTTATACTTGTAATTAACCACAGAATTAATAACCGTGTAATACAGAATGGATAAAGATTTATAAAGCAGCATTTGCATAAATAGCTTTTGTTAAAAACCCAACAGAGAGCAAAGCTACTTATCTAGTGCCAAACATTTCACAGAGCATTATTCAGCTGCAGAGCTGTTTGACATTTAAATTATTAGGACTTCATTCATCACTAAAGCAGAAATTCTGTTCCTCGTCTTCTCCCACAAATTATTATTGTTCATTTCAACCAGATTTAAATAAACAGCTGATAATCTACGTACAAGATTGTTCTCCAACTTGTGCTTCTGCTAAATGAAACGTCTACAGCACCTCTGATGATGATGCGTCAGTCAGTGTGAAAGAAAGGAGAGAAAAAAAAGTGTGGATGTTAATAGGCTCCATTCATGCAGAGAGAAATAAAAGGCATTCAGCAGTAAACATTTCCTGTCGTACTCCTCTCTTGTTTTCCATTATGTGGGAGGAAAATGCTGAGGAGTACAGCAGCCATGAATCAAGGCTGAGCGTTCGCGCCGGGCTATTGTCCACAGGATCATAACTCCTGAAATGGAAACCCAGGGGCATTAAGCAAGATGACTTCTGCACCGAGGGGGAAACAAAAAGCAAAGGCCGAGCCATTCTGGGAGTGCCAAGTCTTTTTCTTAGTCAAAGTAAAAAAATGATTTAAGACTGGTTATTTCCCCTGATAATTGACCAGAGRTCTACACTGATGACTTCATCCAAATTGGGATTTTACAGACGGGAGGCCGGAGCCACTTTTAAACTGTGATCAGTTTGGGCACCTTCAAAATAACAACAACATCCAATTAAAGGTGGGAATTCTTTTCAGAGGTTAAAAGTTGAGTACAGTCCAGTCAGATTGGTTTTACTGCAGTAGAAAAGAAACGTTAGTGTTTCTCCTTAAAAAAGTCAAACTGTCAAAATGACATCAAAAGAGACAGACTTTAGACCAGTCAGGGTTTGTGTTGCAGTTTTGGTACTAAAACCGTGTTTTTATGTCTGATTACGGATTCTGAGTCCATTCTTTTTGCTTCCACAAAAAAAAAAAGAAAAAAAAGGAGTATGTTTTGGCTGAATCTTGCCGAATAATCAGTGGTCCCCAACCCTGGTCCTCAAGYCCCACTACCCTGCAGGTTTTAGTTGTTTCCCCTCAGGCAGGATAGTGGGCCTTGAGGACCAGGGTGGGGAACCACTGGATTAACTYATGATCATCTGTAGGAGCTGCTCTGAAGCGTTCAGAACAATCAGAAAAAGAAAACTGAACAAGTACAGTTTGTTGTAAAGTTTCAGGAGAAACCTAGTCTGGTAAAAACAGCCTCTTGTTCTCTTTGCTTCCTACAGAGGGTCTGGACTCTCWGCTTTTTGGAAGTGATTTCTTGCTGGAGGCGTGGCCTCTGTTGAAGTTTACAACGATTGGGTTGATTTTACCCAATCGRTAACGTTTAGCTGTGACGTATGCAGAGTGCCAGCTCCACCATGAAGGAAGCTAAGCTAATGGTTCACACCCAACGCGATTTCAGCATCAGGAGCATCAGGTTTACATGCAAAGTCTATGGTGGACGCGCTTCAAGCAACGTCGGGAAGTGCTGCGGCGCCTCAAGCGCGATTAGAGCAGCGCGATTTGAACGATTTGAATGATCTGAGCGTTCGACGCGCTGAGGCGCAAATCGCTGAAGTTAGAAAATCTGAACTTTTGCAGCTCGACGCGCTGCATCAACCAATCAGAGAGACTCCACTGTGTGACGTAGTGACATATTTCCTGACGGGCCAGTTTACTGAATGATGTCCACTAACCTGAAACAGACGGAGAGGAGCTCTTTAGCTGAAATCGAGTGCCTGCAGTCGGTGTCCTGACAGGAGATATCCGCACCAATGTGTGGCAGCGGCCCATCAGACTGGAAAAATAGTCCTGAAAGCGAGCTGTGAGCCTCTACTCTGAATTATCTGGTGAATTAATTATGAATTAATTATCTGATGAACGTGACATGCTCTTGCTCTCTGTAAATACAGCAAAGCCACTTCCTCGTCCAACATTAAACAGAGCCCGACAGAGGAGGGAGGGGCGGGGAGGCTGTTGCCGTGCAGCGCTTCAAGAGCTGWCCTGCGTCTGACCTCAAAGTGCACAAGCGACCAACTTKAGCGTTGGCTGCGATTTTGAAGCTGAAATCGTGTTCGGTGTGAACGCAGCATAAGAAACTAACTYGAAACTGTGGGTGCTGTAAACAACCATCCCCTACTGGGAAGAGAGAAGTTCCGAGCTGAACGTGACAGCTGATAATGAGCACTGCAGGCTTTGTGAGACTAGTTTAATTTAATTTAAAAACCTTGTCGACACAGACCTGCTTCATTCACTTCCTCCGCTGCKATTACTAAACTACAGGCAGATTGAAACGGCGCAGAAAATCGARYTCATCGTTCACAACMCCTCCTGGCCTGGAYGAGAAAGCCTCTTCCCTTAAAAAGTTGAACATAACAGCAGTTTTTATTTCCTGAGTCAACTATAAACTCCTTATATTTCAAACTAAAATGATCCCACTTCATAGCAGCAGAGTGTAAACAGTGTTTTACTTGTTGTCCTACTAAAACTCCCCTTGAAGCTGAGCATCATTTGCTTCTTTGGCGTCGTGTTTAAATGGCACGTCACAACAAATGGAGAGCTATCCATCCAACCAACGTCCCATTACAGACATTTACATAGGAACACACTTTGTGCCGTCAGAACATCCATCACCTCACCTCTTCCTTCTCTCTTTTCTTCCAGCTCAGCTGAGCGTTGGCCGCCGCCATCGCCTCGATCACGAACGTGGTGGTCATGTAGCTGACGGAGGACAAGACGCAGGTTAAACCGGTGTCTGAACAAAGAGTCATCAAGAACTTTGAGCACTAAAACCTGGGGTGTTTTGTAAACAGTTTTTCAAATATATTCCTTATTCTAAATTCCTTATTCTAACAATAATATAATAATATTAATAGTAAGTGCCAATAAGTTTGTTTTTATAGTTTAATGAGTAAATCTGTTGGATTCCCTGAAAAGGTAAATATGAAAAAAATGACACTTTTTATCATTTTAATTCATGAACCTTCAAATTTTCTTTAAAAAAATGACCCTTATTGGTTGGTCTTTATTCACAGAGTCTGAGGAATCATTTTTGCATAAACTTGTAAAATTTAATGAATTATTCAGCCGCATCATATTTTTCCATTCTGTGGTTCTTATTTTCATTTTGGGCCAGCAGAATTATTCTAGAAACTACTCGCCAGTTCACCAGAGAAAAGAAACACGGTTGACCTTGCACATGCTTTGCCAATAAAGTCTGAATAATGTGTTCTGCGGGGAGCTGAGAAGCAATAAAAACTGTTAAAGAAAAGCAAATCTGAGAGAAAATATAAACTCAACACATTAAAACAGTCGGACTAAAGATGGAGGATCGGAAGGAGACATTTATTCCCACGGTGAAGGGGAGGAGGAATAAATCTCACCTCATAAATGCTAAAATGCAGATGAGAGTCAAGCTGACCACCCAGCCGGCTGTGGCGAAAGCTCTGGGCATGGTCAGAGCGCCCGTCCCCACGATCAGATTAAACATGTACACCAGCCCCACCTGCAGGAGAAAACATGTAAGAGGATGTAAAGGTGTCACAACACTGCTGTACATGGTATTCATTCACCTGAACTCCCACTTTAAAGATGCAACTAAAGCTTTTTGTTGTGAAACAAACAATAAAAGAAAACCTGAAAACCTGAGTGACCTTRGTCCATCTGACCACTGAATTATTGTCCTTCTTAAAAACCAAACTGCTCCTTCAGGCTGCACCTTCTTCCACATGTGGAGAAGACATTCTAAACCAGTGGTGTCCAGTTCTGGTCCTCCAGGGTCACTAATCCTGCATGTTTTAGTCCTCGCACTGCTCTAACATATGGAGGACTGAAACTGTCATAATTAGAAATAAAAACTGAAATACATAAATAGAACAATAAATAAATAAATACACTTAAAATGCACCTATTAAATTAAAAAAATAACTTTACATCATGTTCTATAATTTAATTGACCTTCATATTTATTTTTTAGCTTAGTTCCAATAAATTATATATTTTAATACATAATTTACATTGTACTGTTTTTAAAAATATAGTTTTGTTTGTTTTTACTTGTACATACATTTGTGTCTCTTAATATTTATATTTAATTGTTTTTAGTTAGTTTGAAGTTTAGTTTAAAACAAAGACACAGGTAAGCATTTTCCTCCTTGCATTTGTTTTAACTAAACTTTAAACTTTAATGTAAACTGAGGCAGAACAACCAGCACAACTGTTTACTTCTGCTCCACCCGGTCACAATTGCAATGAAATTTTAATCACGCTGGACGCCGAGAAAGCGTTTGACCGGGTGGAGTGGAACTATCTTTTAAGACCTTGGAGATGTTTAACTTTGGCCCCAAATTTGTTTCATGTTATATACCTTGCCAATGGCAGCAGTACGCACTAACAGTAATCTATCCAGCTATTTTGAATTGGAACGTGGTACGAGAAGGGCGCAATCGCGATTGAACCACTCGCAGT